GTGGCCGGGCTTCTACATCCTGCAGTGGAAGTTCCACAGCATGCCAGCGTGTGCCACCACCAACCTGCCCCGAGTGGACGATGTGCTGGCCTCGCTGCAGGTCTCATCTCACAAGTGCAAGGTGATGTACTACACGGAAGTCATCGGCTCGGAGGACTTCAGGTACGGCTGCCCGCGCGGGCCGCGGGGCCTGGGGACACGTGTGTGTGAGGCGGTGGGGAGCCACGTCCTCGGGCGCCCTGCCCAGCTGTTGTGCTTTGTAAGTGCTGCTGGGGTGGGGGTGCTGAGCGGGGGCCCGGAGGGCAGGGTTGGCCGGGAAGCCTGGGAGGCAGTGTGGGGAGCGGGCAGCTCGAGGGGCATCCTCACGCCTCGTCCCTTCCTGGGCTGTTGCAGAGGTTCCATGACCAGCCTGGAGTCCAGCCACAGCGGGTTCTCCCAGCTGAGCGCCGCCACCACCTCGTCCAGCCAGTCGCACTCCAGCTCCATGATTTCCAGGTAGTGCTGCAAGGCCCGCGTCCCATTCGCAGAGGGGACAGAGGGGACGCCGTGCCTCCTCGGACAGCCCGCTGCGCTCCGCCCCCTGCGGCCACGGTGTGCAGACTCCTATCACCCTCTAGGTAGAAATAGCTCTCGAGATGGTAAATGTAGCCACTGATCCCACAGCTGTCTCGACAGGTAGTTTTAACTCTTAATAGCCATAGATTTTGCATACAGTGTGCACAAAATCACACCGGAGCACAAGGGCTCTCTTGAAAGGAAGTAGTTTACAGACCAATGAAGAGGTTGACTTTGTCTCAAATGTTGATGCAAAAAAGTTTTTGAACACCCTCCACTAGTGGATGAAGTCCTGCACCATCCATCTGAGGTGACCTCATCTTCCTACGTGGAGCAGAAGCTGCCAACCTGTCCCTTAAAATGCAGTCCTCACCTCCTCCCTGCTGTTAGTCGGCCTGGTCCGTGGATTAAGTGACAGCCCACTAGAAACGTATTCCTCTGAGCAGACGCCGCTTAAGTTGGAAGGACTCAGAGACAGACTCAGGGAGCACCCAGCCCAGCTCCCGGGGGCCAGAGGGATCCACGGTTCTCAAGTGGGTGCTGGTGGGTTAGGGGGCCTTTGGGGACGCCCCTCAACGCCAGGAAAAACACCGCCATCATTAAATACCATTTTCTCTTTCCTCCTCTTCAAATCTTGTTGGTGCTTTCAGAGCAGATGTTTCTGTGCATGACTTGGGCGAACGGCATTTCTTACCCGTTTCCTCCTGGTGTGTTGCTCTTTCTGCCTGCATGCGTTAGTTCTAAACTCATTCTAGATTTCGCTTCCTCTGCCCCCTCATAGCATACAGAGCCCAGATAGTCCTTCTGGCCACTTGAGGATATTTTGAAGATAGAATAAGGTCACAGTTGCCATTTTGAAACTGTCCAGTGTTCACTTTAGCCAACCAGCAATCTCACCATGGAGCCACTTCCGGTTAGCAGGTGGCTTGTTGGAACCCTGCTTCTTGGTAGAAGGAAGGAGACTCGTTGGGTGTGTGTGTACACACGGGCGTGCGTGGCGTGTGGTGCTGGTGGGGAATGGCGCAAGCAGAACCTTAGCTCCAGTAACAAAAGATCCTTCGCAGAAGCAAATCAGAATATGAGATTGGTTTGCCTTTTACATTTTCTTTTTGATTCCCAGTTTCAAAGCCTGGTCTGTCTTATATTGGCTCTCGTTTTGTCAGATTTTTATGGCAAAAGCAGGTTACTTGCGAATCCGTCAGGATGTTGCATCGGGTGAGTCTGCATGATAAAGACGTGATGTGTGGGTCGTGTGTGGCAGAGGCTGTGCTTTCAAAGCTAAGTGCCAAAAGCCTTGCGGCCGTCAGTTACCGTTGTGTGTGACGGGCACGTACATCCTGCGTTGCATTGTTTTCGTCCACTCTGCAGGCGTTAGGTGGGTGTCCTTGAGACGCGAGCGCTTTGTGGAGAACGTGTGTGTGCCCCAAAGGGGAGGTGTTGGGGGCCTGGAAGAAACAGAGCAGCCCCCTCACCCTGTCAGTGATGCTCTTGTGGCCGCTTGCACACGGAAGCCTCTCGAGCTTCTCCCACGATCGCTGGCCTTCCAGGAACACAGCTCTGCGTTTCCTTTGGGAAGATAAACTCAGCATTGGCACCTACGGGCTTGTTTCCAGAAAACACAGTAGGGCTAGTTGGTGCCTCCGTGCTGCTTCCAGTTTCCAAATTATAAGGACCTGAAGATGGTCCCTTCTTTCTCTTTCTTTCTCTCTTTCTCTGTGTCTCAGATGGCGATTTTGCTGACAGCTGCCAAGAAAACGCTCCACTCAACAGTCCACATGAGCCCAGGGATGTTTGTAGAACTATTGGCATTGCAGCCACCCCCCACCCCCCACTCTGAAGATCTGCTCTTTTTAAGTTGATTCAGAAGTGGCACTGTTTTAGCCCCAAAGAGTTGAATGCATCTTTAGAGTTCAAAGCACACGACTGCACAGATGCGTCCAGGGTTTACTCTTGAATCCCAGCGCCCACCGTCCTTGTGCGGGAACCGTGGGCGCTCGTGCGC